AATTAGAATAGCCTTCAGGTGTCAATACAGATGCATGGCACCATTTTCTTCTGACCTTCCAGTTCAATCTACTTCAGTCAGTTGACAGCACCAAATTTCAGTTTTCTTCTCTGGCAACATAGCTAAAAGCAGCACTGCAGACCATTCCTCACCTAGAAACCGAGGTCTTAATTAAGACCCTCTCACACCTTTTGAGCCTAACTTGATCATTATCAAGTTTGGTCAGAAACCAGTGAAGCTTTGATGTCTACCTCAAAGTCTCCAGTGCCATACGAAAGAGAAAAAAAGCAAACATCCTTCCCTTTCCAAAGCTTCTCCATCAGGACAACACGCAAAGACAATGAAGATCCAGTATCCAAAAGCTGGCTACTAAGCACGGTCTGTCATTAGTCACAGAGATTAATTACATACAGTCCTAGAAGGAGAAAGGAGGAAGTGCCGGTAAAGCAACCTTTATTTGCAGATATTCCATTTTCTAACACTGCTTAAATGTTACATTGCAGAAGTTGCTCTGCTTAAATGCCATCCTACAGGAGCTGCCTCCTGGAGCGAGACAGACCAGCTCACCTCTTGCTCCTACAAGAGTAAAGTCCAGAAGCTATTCACCAGGCAGAGGGAATGGAAATTCCTGCTACCGTTACAAAGTAATCCTTTTATATAAAAAAATATCTACATAAAATCTTACATTTGAAATTTAGGATGTTTCAGCATCTAGCAATCAATTCCTTGCCCAAAGAGCCTGCAGCCTTCAGGGCAAAGACAAGAGAGTAGGGACAGTAACAGAGCTCGGTACTTCACTGCCTCCATCTTCCAGGCTCTAAGCTGCTACTCAGGACTTGCAAGTACCATCTTTGAACTGTGCAAGTTTCAGTTTATGTAAAAATTAAAACAAATAAACAAACAGAAAACCCCAACAAAAAACCCCAAACAAACAAACCCCCCCAAAAATAAAACAAAAAACCACCACCCAACCTTGGGGAAAAACACAAACAAAAACCCCCAATACCTTACCTAAGCCAATAAATACCAGGATGTGAAGAACATTTAAAATATTAGTATCTGAACTATTCCACGTGAACTAAACCAAAAAAACCACGCTATTCTGTAAATGTTAAGGCGGTTTATTATTTTGCAGGTCACAAGACACGCAGTAAGTCACAGATCTACACCAACACTTCACAAATCAATCAGACAAGGCCAAAGCTATATAAATTAGACTAAACCCTTACAAATGTTTATATGTGCATGGACTAAGTACAGTAGGAGTCAAATTCAATTCATAAAGTGGCTGGATACAGCAGTTGATGAGTGGTGTTCTGGGGTTTTTGCTTTTTTATTTTATTTTAATCTTGAATGGCTTCACTTGCTTTAGTAGCATTTTTGTCTTTGACAGAAGTTTTAAATCAACATACTTTTGCACAAGTGAGTCTATACTGCTTAATACTGGTTTGTGCTGCGTGAGGAACTGGCCAAGATCTACACATAATAGTGCAGGGGAAAAAAAAAAAATCATTTCAGAATTATACTAAAATTGAATTCTGCTTGTTCAGCCACAATCAACAGACAGGAATCACAGGGTAGGCATAAAATAAAATGCACTGAATTATATTAAAAAAACCTAATTTGTGCCAGGTTACACCTATTACTGATTTGGTAACAGCTCTTTTTTTTGGGGGGGTCAGGCCATATACCTGGAAAAACAGTAACATAAGAAGGTATCAGTGATTTTTTATATTTTATTTCCTCTGCAGTTTAATAGCTAGATACCAACAGGCATCACAGCATGGCTTGGCTTTGTCTAGATTAGGATTTAGGGACGTACACACCATGTTACACAGAATCATACTGATTCTGTGTACACCCCTCCCCCCCCCCCAAAACCAAAGCATAGTCTTTACAGTAAAAACCCAGATGCACTTTAAATGAGTGGCTTCTCCTGGAACTGAACGTTAATCAACTCAGCACAATTTGTTTCATCTTGCCTGATTATCAGAGATGTTCCTGAGCCAGTTCAGACTAAGACCCCAGGTTCAAACTGGAACCTTTAACAGAGAAATTCAGAATTTTGAGGCAGGGTGCGAGCAGAAGGCACAGGGTGGGTAAGCCCTCCACGGGCCCCGTAAGTGATGGTGCCTCTTGCTTGCCATGAAAAAAAACCAACCCTGAAACTCTTCCAGTACATTGTATGAACCGGTTCCCAGCGACAACTCGTCCTTCTTCCAACATGCTCAAAGAACTAATTTTCTTGTGATGTTATTACAGTTCGCATAGATCAGTGCTAAAGATTATGGACCACATCCATCACTGCACTGCGCCGCTGTAATTCCATTAAACAAGTGCTCTTTGTATTCCAGCATTAACGGATCAGACTGTGAGCTCTGAAGCAGGGTTCAGCCTGCTCTGGATGTCTAAATAAAACTTAGCAAACCACCAAGCCGAGTGACACTGGAATTAATCTGAAGTAATGTGGCCGTGAATCAGCCTTGGTATTTTTTTGTTGGGTTTTCATGGCTCGCTTCTGCCAGCACTTATACCACAGAGCATCCACATGGAAATTCTGCCTTGGACTCAGCTCCCAAGCAGCCCTTCTCCACATTCACATTTATTTCCATCAACTAATCTGGACTGCTGTAGAAAGTTTTTTTTTTTTTTATTTTAAAAATAACATGCAGCATTGTAAAAAATTTAAAAAAAAAACAATTTAAAAGGCAAGGTTTTGTTGATCAGACCATTGTGTACTTTAATGGGCTTTTTTTTTTTTAAACTGTTTTTCTGGGTTTTATCTGGGTATACGTGGCAGCAATAGAGTTTCAAAGCCCTCAGTATAAGCTTCTAGTTCTGTATTTAAAAGGATATTTAATCCAAATCCTCCTTTCATTTATTAAAGATGCTTTTATATTTTTTTGTAACCCATATCTTCCCCAAAATCTCAGTTGCTGCATAATAAACATGTTGGGTAAAAATAAATCTGTCTAAACTCACCGTTTTGCTGATACTCTCTGAAACATCCTGTTCTTAAGCAGAACATTGGAGTTTTAAAATGCAGATTTACGAGGCAGGGAGAGAATTGGGAGACCTGTGCTTTATTCCCAGGTCTGTCACATGCTGATGACCCCCCCAGAGAGACCTCAGGGCTTGGGTGCTCGGTTCTGTCATCCACTGGTGGGTGCTGGGCAGGATGGCCCTGTGAAGGATGTCTACATGGAGGCCAGCACGGCACAGCAGGACTTCCAGCACCCTTTCCAAAAAAGCCAGTGAACGAGGACAGTTACCAGAGAGAAACCAGGAAGAGAAGACTCTTTTAGCTGCTAATAGCGAGGTGGAGGGAGGCCACACCTCAGGTCCCACATCCCTTAGGGCAGAACAGGTCACTTATTTCAAACCCAGACTAAAAAAGATTTTAATCAGCTGGAGCTCACTTCACTCCGTTGAAATGCTGTGGCAAAGAGATCTTAGCTCAATACCATCTCCTCTTGGTGAATGTCTCAGCTATCACGGAATCACGGAATTGTCAGAGTTGGAAGGGACCTTCTAGAGATCATCCAGCCCAACTCCCCTGCCAAAGCAGGGTTGCCCAGAGCACATCACTCAGGACTGCATCCAGGTGGGTCTTGAAGATCTCCAGAGAAGGGGACTCCACACCCTCCCTGGGCAGCCTGTTCCAGGGCTCTGTCACCCTCACCCTAAAGAAGTTCGTCCTCATTTTTGAGTGAAACTTTCCATGTTCCAGCTTGTGCCCGTTGCCCCTCGTCCTGTCACTGGGAACCACTGAAAAGAGACCAGCTCCACCATCCTTCAACCCACCCTTTGGATACCTGTAAACATAGATGAGGTCTCCCCTCAGCCTTCTCTTCTCCAGGCTACAGAGCCCCAGCTCTTTGAGCGTTTCCTCATAAGGGAGGTGCTCTAATCCCTTAATCATCTAAGTTGCCCTATGTTGGACTCTCTCCAATAGTTCCCTGTCTCTCTTTAACTATAGACCCATCCAAGCTGACCAAGCCCAAAATACCTTCCAAAGATGACTCAAGAGCTCTGGTTCAGATGGGAGGAGAAGAAATGACATGTTGCAACCTAGGCAGATGCAGGCACCAGGCAGCAGGAAAACAAAACTCACGTCTTTTCCTCCAAAGACCACTTCCACATTTGACATTCAGTGGTCACTGCACATAAAAAAATGGCCCCATCTGTTCTAGGGTCAGGAATGTTGATGGCAGCATTCCTCTCCTGCATGAGCAACTTTTCTCTGGTCCTAAGGAGTCTGCAATTTTTTTTATGCTACGCAGTTAAGTTTTCAAGAGAATCTGAGGAAATTGTCTTTTCCTCCAGGAAGCATGAAGAGTGTTAGTGCACCTTCCCAGAAGGTGAGAAATTTTACTCCTCCTTGAACTGGAAAGTTCTAATTAACCTGGGATGCAGGTATGGCTACAAAAGTAAAGGGGGAAAAGAATGTGCAAATTATTGCTGCAGCATGGCAGGATTGCTGTTTGCACACATTTACAGAAGTTATTATTAATAATGAATGTTAGGACAAATAAAATTAAGATGTTTTCCACATAAGGAACAGTGAAAACCAAACGTGGCAAACAGGACCCAAGTGCTCTAGCAAAGATGTCGAGTCAAGTCTTCTGCAAGACTTCTGCTTATATATGAAAGTAAGCACCATTAGCCAGAGGAGAAGCCACAGATGCTATTTTTCCTGGAAATACAAAAGTCAGATCCATTCACTGATGGATTGCAAATGATAAAACCAGCCTACACATTTTCACTGGTTCCTTATCTCTCAAGGCTGTTCACTCACTGTATTACCAAGAGATGAGCTTTTCCATAAGGTTCATCAGAATTTTTTTGATTAAATGATCTTAGCAAGAAGCTGGAATTTATCTATCTGAAATGCCATTACTGATCAAACTAATATAGCTGGCCTACTACCTTATTATCATAATGAAGCAAAGCAGCATAAGGCAAAGGAGGAGGTAGAGAAGCAAGCCATAATCCCCAACCTAGGACCAAGAAGCCATCCAGCACATACAACCCACGAATGTGCTGAGTGGTTTTTCCTCTCGGAGAGAGGGTTGCACTGTTCTGTTTTGCTATGTGCATTACTTCATTTGTGCTTACCATCTCGCCTCAAGGAAAACAACTCTGACTTAAGTGGAACACGGGGTTGTCAGTACTTTTATTCAAACATCAAGGGGCTAGTTCCTGCTACTTGTAGGCGAAAGAAGCATTTCCCCAGTACTGCAGTTACCCCTCACACTGAACTATGGGTTTGCATTAAGTCTATAATAAAGAGTGGCAGATAAAAGGCATACTTCTCAACGCAAATGAGGGGGCAGCATGAGGCCAGAGAATTCACTGGTTCTTGCTTCATGCAGATCTTCCCACCGGTGCAAGAGGCAGGAGGAAGGTCAGAGAAGCTCAGAGCGGAGAGGGAAGGGGGACAGAAAACTTCACAGCCTAAAGAAGCAGGGGGAAAAAAAAGTAGGGAAAAGAGTTTGGGTGCTCAACACCACCTGAAACAGATCTGTAGTTCTGTAACCACATACAAAACACCTTCTCCTGTTGTGATTCGACTCTTTTACAATTGTATGTACTCGAGCAATTTTAATAAAGCCTTAGGAAACAATAATCAACAAAATTACCCCTCATACACTTGTTCTTTCTCCTACACAAAACAATCTCCAAGACCTCTGGTGTACAGCTGGCCTCTAAAAATCAAACTGAGTAAAAATACCAACATAAAACCTGGTAATTCCCAAGGCATTAAAAATTCAGAAATATTTAGAGGTTTTTGGAATTGTCCCTTCTTTCACTCTGTTTTACAGCAAGGCATACTTCTGATGCCCTGTATTCCTAACTGTATATTCCAAACCCCTGGCACGACCTCGCTGTGTCATAAGCTCGACCTGTGATTTGATAATACACATAGAGCAAAATGAGGCAACGCTGTGTGCTGACTAACACCCTGATGCAATCCCGACCAGGCTGGGTGAAAACATCACAGAAGGAGCAAAATACTCGCTGCACTTCACAGCTGAGCCTCCGGTGGGGATCCTGCAGATGCCCAGTATTTACTCCCAAGACAAGCACTTCAAGCCATGTCCATCAAGGCATGCTACGGTTCTCCCCGCGGTAGGAGGGATCAACACCTTTGCAGAGTGGTTTGTTGTTCAGGGAGAGCACGAAGCTCTCCTAGTTTTGACCATATGCAAGAATGATGTTAAAGAAGTGTATGTATCATCATCAACTGGGAGAGGTCATTGACACGCTGGAGGGCTGTGCTGCCATACAGCGAGACCTGGACAGGCTGGAGAGTTGGGCAGAGAGGAACCTGATGCACTTCACTTAAGGCAAGTGTAGGGTGCTGCACCTGGGGAGAAACAACCCCCTGCAGGCTGGGGGCTGACCTGCTGGAGAGCAGCTCTGAGGAGAAAGACCTGGGAGTCCTGGTGGACAACAGGATGACCATGAGCCAACAATGTGCCCTTGGGGCCAAGAAGGCCAGTGGCATCCTGGGGTGCATCAGGAAGAGTGTGACCAGCAGGTCAAGGGAGGTTATCCTCCCCCTCTGCTCTGCCCTGGGGAGGCCCCATCTGGAGCACTGGGTCCAGTTCTGGGTCCCCAGTTCAAGAAGGACAGGCAACTGCTGGAGAGGGTACAACAGAGGGCTACAAAGATGATGAGGGGCCTAAAGAGGAAAGGCTGAGGGACTTGGGTCTTCTTAGTCTAGAGAAGAGAAGACTGAGGGAGCATCTGATCAACACCTATAAATACTTAAAGGGTGGGTGTCAAGAGGATGGGGCCCGTGGTGCCCAAGGATAGGACAAGAGGAAATGGGCACAAACTTGAATATAAAAAGTTCCACCTAAACACGAGGAGGAACTTCTTTCCTTTGAGAGTGGCAGAGCCCTGGAAGAGGCTGCCCAGGGAGGTGGTGGAGTCTCCTTCTCTTGAGACATTCAAACCCACCTGGACACGTTCCTGTGCAACCTGCTCTGGGTGGACCTGCTTTGGGAGAGAGGTTGGACTAGATGATCTCCAGAGGTCCCTTCCAACCCCATGTGATTCTGTGACTCTGTAACTGGAAGATGCAGTCAAAATATATGCCTCACTGGTCCAAAAGGTGCGTGAAGATGTGCACAGGCAGTACCTCATCGCTACCTCTCTGGGTGTGTAACCACCAAGGCAACAGTTACTACAGGGAACAGTGTAACAAAAGGAGGTACCTTTAAAACGTACAGAGACAACCCAAACCAAGCAATTTGCCCTACACGTTTTCAAAATCAAGAGGTTTTGTGTTCTGGGGTTTTCCAAATACTTTCAGCTTTGCACAATTAGAAATAACTGAAGAAGTTAAAACGATTACGCTTCCTGAAGTTATTTTTAACTTCTGTTACGCTGCACCATCTGCAGTGAATGCAGAAGTACCTGCAAGGTAGACAGAGATTGCACAGGGACATGAAGTATTTATAATACCTATCTGCGCACAATTTTTCTAAACAAGACACTCTGATTTGTTTTCTATTTAATAAACAATCTGTTGAGGAAATAATGCACACCACAATGGTAATCAAGATATACTGCTGACACCTTTCTTACCATTTCTGTAATCATAATTCACTCCTTTACTATTAAACATGTAAGAGTGTAATCAATTTATATACCCGTATGCCTGTGTTGGCGTGCGTGCTCATGCACACAAGTAAAACCTATACAGATTACAGATTTTATCTACTAAAGCCATGCAGAACTAGAGAGAAGTACCAAAGGCTCTACTGACTTCTATTTCCTTTTCACACACACCAAAAAAACCCCCACATCACACACAGCTGAGAAATTAAAAAGAAAAAAAAGGTTCTCTAGGTAACATTACCTCACACAGATGTGAACAATCAGAATTTCTGAGAGTGGTGCCCTGAGAATCTGAAACAATTTTGTAAAAGTATGGGGAAGTATGTGTCTTAAAGTTTCACCACCTCAAACGAGAGATTCCAGCAGAATCCAAAGGGTAATGGATACTCATCCATGTGCTCCCAAAAGCCTCAAGGACCGTATGTAGTAAACACACCAAATAACTGCAGAGCTTCTGAACTGTACTCTCGATCAATACAAACTCAAGTGCAAACCCCCAAAAGCACATTACCACCAGAAATATCTATTCCATTTGAGCAAGTTTTTTTTGAGCAAATGGGTAAAAAGAAATGCATCTTGGGGCTGTGAGCACCCCAGGCAATCTGGATTCTTCAGACCGTTATAAAATAACGTGTATTATACCTGAAGTGGGTACTGTAAGAAACCCCTCAGTACAGGCTACCTTCATTTTGACCCAAATCACTACAGCAACCTCGCCTCTGTTCAGAGAGTATCTTCAGCAAAGCCATTATCTCCAGAAGCAATATTGCTCCGAGTGGGGAACACAAAGGAGTCTCTCATGTTTCTATGGGCAGCCAGTGGGCAGCTCCAGGTTTGAAGTATTGAAGTACCTTCTTTTATCACCAGAAGACTAAAGGGAGATGGTGAGTCTTTCAAAAGCCCTCCCTATTTCACAAAACGTGCCCGTACAAACAAATTAAACCCAGGCAGACGCTGCAGGTAAGTGCTCAGCTAAGGGAGACATGCTTGTCTCCTCCTAACCCTAAGGAGTAATTTTTGATCAGGTATAAAACGCTTGCCCTGTTATGAAGGTCTCCAAAACACAATCAAAACGGTGCAGAATACCTTTGTTTCCCATTTAATAACCTATTTTTAAAATAAGTTTTCCAGCACAGAAGAAATTAGAAAGAAAGGGCAGTTCCCAGCCCTCCCATTCTGCAAACTGTTCCTCTGGAATAACACTGGAGAGCTGAAACAAACTTGCTTTCACACTTTTTCATAGTCTTTTCATATTTGTAACGCAACAGATACTAAGCATAGTGGAATGGCTGCTTCTCCCAACTTAACTACAGCTTTCCAGAATGCCCTACAGTACTTCCTTGAAAATGCAGCTGAGAGTTGCATTCCAGTATATATATAAAAAAAAAACCTCAAAGATAAATAAATTTATAAATAGAGACAATAGAGGTCAATAACCACTTCAACAGATACTAAGCATAGTGGAATGCCTGCTTCTCCCAACTTAACTACAGTTTTCCAGAATGCCTTACAGTATTTCCTTGGAAATGCAGCTGAGAGTTGCATTCCAGTATTAAAAAAAAAAAAAAAAAAAGTATTTATAAATAGAGACAATAGAGGTCAATAACCACTTCTGCATTAGGAATAACTTTGTTTTTCCCCTGCAGCATGTTATGACTGGATACACAAAGGCATTTTTCTGTACTTGTTAAAACCAGCTCCTTGTAGACTGTATCGTAGATGTCAGAGCAGAAAAAAAAAGGGCTCTATTTCAGACCAGAATGCTCCCAGTCCATTAATCTGGCTCCAGTTCTGACATGGAGGAAAGCATATCTTTTCAGACCAGAATGCTCCCAGTCCATTCATCTGGTTCCAGTTCTGACATGGAGGAAAGCATATCTTTTGCCATTCACTTCACGTTTTTCCAGTAGCACGTGTCTAAAAAGACTGTAGGATCTGCCTCCCCCCAAAACATACTAAAAATACGATTAACTATCTCAATCGTCATGTAGCATAAAAGAAAGCTGTTTTTCAGATTTTTCAGATGCTTATACTGCATTGCATAAGACTTACTTAACAGAACTAATTCCTGTCATCCAACATGTGCAAAATCTCAACGGAAGCTGCAAAGGCCTAAGTGATTTGCATCTAATTTGGTTTTGAAAACATGTCACTGTGTACCATTTGAACACTGAAGCCTAATTTATGTTTTTTTATTACAATGCAATAAACTACTGTGGCGTGGAAGGGGGAAGAGTTATTACTCTCCAAAATCCAGCTAGCACTCCAAGCGTAACTAGTTGTATGCCTTCTGCTCACCACCCACTGGTGGCCACCTAATCTGTTGGAGCCTACAGTTAAAATTTGGGGCGGTGGCTGCGGTGGTTTTTTTCCCTATTTGGAGAAACATACCCAAGAATTAATCCGCCTTTGAATAAATAAGTATTGCAACTCAGTACAATGTATATTAAAGTGTCAGAGACTTTGGGGTTTTGCTCATTGCTGATCTC